TTGAAAGGGGTATTACAGTTCAATTCTGAACTTTGCTCAAAGAAATGGGTGTTGTAAATTGTAAGTTGTGAATTGAGTAACCGTACAGTTACTCAATTGCTGCGTGTTTGCAATGGTATTTTAGCATCCTCTTCAAAAGCACTTAATAAAGACTAGCATTATTTTTTACAAAATTTCAGGTATTCCTATTGCTCTTGGATCTTCACGATAGTCTCTGCTCTGCTCATCCTGTGGGTCTTGATGTCACCCACAGTTCTGGGCAGCGGAACCCTCACCAGTCCTGATGCCAGTCCAGGAAGCCACACCACGCGCGCTGGCTCCAGACCGTCCCTCCCATCTGCTCCTGGCCACCCTGCCCCAGCTCACTCAGACTTTTGCATCTGTATTTCTTCTCTGTCCTATGCTTTGGTTTAAACCTCCACAGATACTAATGGATGACTTGCTTTACCCTGAATTCATGAAACACTTTTTGGCTCTTTAATCTTAAATAATCAGCTGGCTCTCCCCATCACAGACACTTCCGCAAGTCATTACAAACACTTCCACAAGAACTTGTACTTATTATCCTGACTTCACAAATTAGGCTAATCGGCAATCTGCAAATGGACAAAACATCGGAGGGAACTATTTGGAGTTAATGGTCTTAACATTTGCTCGGTATTTTTAGCAAGTGGGGATAATGAAAGCATTAAAGTTATTTATGTATAGGAGTCAGTGTGCTTATTTAGACACAGTAGTTTATGTAAAGTTATTTATGTATAAAGTTATGTATGTATAAGGTATAGGCATCAAGAAATAAATAAATATTATATCTTCTAAAAAGGTGTTTAGGATATTAAAGTCTCTAGTCTTCAGTTTCATAACATATCCCAACTTTAACTATTATTATATCTAAGCACATTCTTACTTAACCTCGAAGTCAAAAACACCTAATAAGTCTGAAATGAGAAGCTGTATTAGCTCAAATTTACTTAAAAGGTAGAGCCGAATGAACTACTGGTACAATGATGCATCAGAGAACGTAACTACCAATGAAAGCACAACAGGGTTAAGTACCAAGAACCAACACGAATTTGACCGCCAAGTGTTTCCAACCCTCCTCCCTTCTCAGAGGTTCCGTGGTCCCCCACCCCTCACAGTCTCTTACCCAGGCACCCGCTCTGTACGCCCGTCACTCCCTACCTTCGGAGCATCAGAATCACCTGTTAGGACACGCGTTGCTGAACCCCAACCCCAGAGCGTCTGACTCCTGGGCCTGGGGCAAAACCGAGAACCGGAGTTCTCCCACTTTCCCAGGTGACAGCAAGGGCCACACTCGGAAAACGGGCGCAATGGATCCTGAAGGGCTTTGCCACCATGCAGCGGCCAAGCAAGGTTTTACCTGATAACTTACTATTCTGCCCCTCCCAGGAATACTGGCATCTTTAGAAAGGAGGCCTGAAAACAAAACTTGCCAGACCCCAAAGAAAGATCGTCTAATAGTTACATTTTAGGCCCCTGACAAGGAATGAGAAAATCGTCTTTGCTCAATAGCCCTAGACGAAGTCTTAGCAAATGTGTTAAATTACAGAGCTTGGATCAAATAGGTGATCTTAACCCTGCGGATTCCAGTCTCGGGACACAGCCACAGGCGCAAGCAATAGAATGTTGTCTTTCTGTAACTCAACTACAATTCTATTTCAATCTGCCCTTCTGCCACGGTGGTGGAAACTTAATCACAGTCAATCCAGACTCCAACCTCTCTTTCCTCTGGCTCCCACCTGTATTAACGTCATAACAAAATAACACAGACTTCGTGACTTAAACAATAGAGATGTATTTTCTCGCAGTTCTGGAGGCTGGGCAGTTCGAGATCAAGGTGTCAGTAAGTGTGCTTTCCTCTGAGGCCCCCCCCCTGGGGTATCAGACGGCGGCCTGTCTCTGGCTCCTCAGGTGGTTTTCCTACGTGCTATGCACTTCCTGTGTCTCTTTGTGTGTCCAAATCCCTTCTTGTAAGGACACCAGTTATATTGGATTAGGGCCATGCTAACAGCTTCATTTTAACTTACGTACCCCTTTTAATGCCCTACCTTCAAATACACTTACATTATGAGGTGCTGAGGGTTAGGATTTAAACATGAATTTTGGCAGAGGAGTAGGGATACACCATTCAGCCTATAACACCACCTAAGTAAGATCCAAGGAGTTTGCACGTTGCCAAAGCTGGAAGGCAGCCGCTCAGGCCTTGGTTCCCCAGGCTGCTATGAGTGCTGGCCTCAGATGCCCTTATTCGGGTTTTCAATGGGGTGTCCCTCATCTGTAGTTGCAAGACTGCTTCAATGACAGACGAGGCACTAGAAGCATGCATTAAGTGGGCTGAGGCCTTCCGTCATTTTTGTGCCCCTCAAGGGCCTTGCAGAAATCATTCTACCCCGCCTGGGCTGTGCCGGACACAGGGAGCTTGGCGAGGCTGTCTCGGGGCACTCACACCCATGTTCTTGAGTCTTGCCAGCCATCCGGACTTCACCCTGGACATGAGAGACGGGTCTACTCTCCTCCCCAACCCATGCAACTCATCCGGGTAACTGCCATCCAATGCCCACCTCAGGGCTTGCTGGGGAGGGGATGCAGGCAGCGAAGATGGAGGGTCCCCGTCTCAGACCACCGCATCTGAGCTCTCATGACTGTTCTCTCACAACCCTAAGCACCACCTCCTCCACGCAGAAAAACACTTTTTTCTGTTCTTAGGGGTGGGAAGCTTTGCCTCATCTCAAGAGATATTCACTCAAGCATGTTGTTTGTGCCCCAGACCTTTCCATTCTCCTGAGTTGCCTAAATTTTTTAAAACTCAAAGCCTGGGGATGTCTTTCCCCTGCCTCCACCTCCCACTCCGCTCCCAAGAGTTCCTTCTAAGAAACAAACGCTGCTTTAACTCCTGCAGTTACCCCAGGCCGACAGGGCAGCCTCACCTTCCATCAGCAGCAGACTCAGAACTGAAGGCCCTTTCGTCAGCAGACTGGGTTCTTGCACCGTCAGCCCCAGGGAGAAGTTGGAACTGGGCGGGACTGCATTCCCTTCCCCTATTCCACAGGGTGGCCGGAGTGCCTGCCACTGGCCAGTGCTGGGTGTCCATTCTGTGGCCTCAGAAGACCAGATCACTGGCACACCAGAAATACAAACTCCCTGAGGGTAGTATTTTGAATAATTGCTCATTAGTTTTGTTCTTATGTCAGTGTTTCAAATACCACAAGAGACTCAACAGCGCTCGGATTTCCAACTCTTCATTTGATAACCCTCTGGGTCAAAAATACAGTATTGCCCAATACTCTGAACTAAATAAAAAGCAAAATTAATGAAAATTATTCAATGTCTTACTGCGTAGAATGAGCAATGTTTCAATATAGGTCAGCTACAGTTCTTCTCCTATTTAATCAAAAGTAAAAGTTTGTGTTCCTCTGTTTTTTTAACTACAACCTTTTTTTAAAGAGCAAAACACATAAAAATACCCTTTTCTAAAAGCAAAAGTATAGTCCATTGAGGTAAAACAGGAGATACTGAGAGTCATGAAATACCCGTGTGCAGATGCAACAGATAAGCAGATGTGGAAAACCCACTAAAAATGACAATTCCTGTGTGTGAAATGAAACCATTACTCTCATTTTTGTAAAGGATTAAGGGTTTTATTATTAACTTTTCACATTATACTTAAATTTTTCATCATTTCAGTAAAAATATAAAGTATTCTGAATTCTTACATTACTATATGCTCAAATGCTTGGCAAGTTCTCATACACTTTATACATTATGTTATTACTTTTATTATTCTCTATGAAAGACCTACAAGGGAAGTATAGAAACCTTTACATTCCTGTTATGTCCCAAATAATCTCAAGATTAAACGTCATGGTCATATCACAAGACATCTTTTCTATCCCCGAAGAGACTTTTTAAAAGGCACTAACAACAACCTCTAATATTCCTTTACAAAAATAGACTTAAATTGTCCTGATTACAGTTTTTAAACTTAAAGATTTCTATCTTTAAGTTTAATTCTGCCTTTATTAAGTAATATACCCCCCCTTCATTTGTAATAAAAAAGTTTAAGATAGCAAAGTTCAAAAGTGCTGTCTGACTTTCTTTTATCCGAAAAGTTCTGGGAGCTAATTTCACCTCAAATTAAACCACTTACAGATTTGGCCGCAGCTGTCACTGCTCCAGTGTTACACGAGTGTTCACGATAACAATCTATGTCTTTCATACACACATTTTCAAGTTTCATAAACTTGTTGGTTTTCCTAAAACAGTTAGTTCAACTAGTTTTAGCATGGTTTCAGCAATCATTGTCTTCTATTTTGAGATTCAAAGGAGAAAATGTTTCTACAATACAATACTATACAGCTAATCCTTTAAAGAACCAAAGGCTGTCAAGTCAGCTACCTTACCTTCCTGAGCTCCGCTGCCACCGCCATTAAGCCAGGAAGCATGCTCAGTATATGAGCCCCCAGAGCTTCCTCTGCTGGTTTTTTTTCCCCCCAAGGATGCTGACCACCCTGACTCCATGTAAAACATCCTCTCCTATCTCACACATCCAATGACTCATCCTATGGCTTTGTACTTGTCTTGGAGCATTTTTGCCATTGCATTATGGTTTCTATTGCACATACCTTTCTCATACATTAGGTGATAAGCTCTTAACGGGCTATACTCAGGTCTTAAATACCTCCTAGCACTTTGCCCTAAGTGTATAATAGATATATTTGTTGACAGAACAACTGAATTAATGAATCAATGAATCATTGAATTCTAACACATTCTATTAAATAATTCCCAAATAATTTTGGTATACAATTGTAATTAACATGCAAAGAGAAAAGCGAGTTATAAAAGCATCCTACAGTAGATAGTAGATAAAGCACATTTTAAGGTATTCAGGAAACCTTTTTGGTTCAGCATTAGCTAAGGGGTATCCTTCTTGTTAAGGTGCTGCTTCCTCATTGGTTTGGGCTGAAATGCAAGTGCCATTTCCTCTCTGCTCCAGAGTGTGGGTTTCTCTTCTCGATGCAAGCAGACTCATCTGGCTCCTCATCTCACAAAATCGTCACCCCAAGGAACGTGGGTGAGTATAAAATTTTAAAATGAGATGAGGCTTTTAAGGAAATAACATACTTTTGCATGTTGTCAGTGGTGTCTGCAACAGTTTGTCTAGTTTAGGTTGAGTATACAAGGCACTGCAGAGCGTCGTAAGAGAGAAGCAAGAATGACACATGTCCCTCTGCTCTGAGCAGTGGTAAAACGATGTCAAAATTTGCGTTTCCAAATAGTTGGGCAAAATGATCCATATACAAAAGAAGAATGTTCATGCTGTTTCCTCTTTGAGAAGCAGTATATGGGCAAACTGAAGTAAGTGGTTGGAAAAACAGCTCAATAGCCTAGAAAATCCCTCGCTGTAGAAGGAGTTGCCACCGTTTTCTTATCAGCACAATGGTCTAGTGATACTTTTTATACCATCAGAAATAATGTACAATTTGGAAATAATAATGTCATTATTAATAAGTGTTGGGCACATAGTAAAGTCTAATAGGTAGCTATTAAAATAATAAACAAAGGCACGTGTTTTCCATAACAATGTGGACAAACATTTTATCTTTTAATCATTGTCATCAATGATTTGTACGATTTTAGGAGCCAGTTAAGAACAGATATATTTTAATATCCCGTGGATTATCTTCTTTTGGCCATTGGTAACAATCAAAACAAAAATCGAAAACTCATCCACACTTCTCAGAACTGGTTCTAAAAATAATTTTTCTCAAAGTTTGATTCATGAGCATACTATCTAGAAAGATGTATGAATAATAAGAATTATGTATTTCATTAAGATCTCAGATTCACACACATTAAGTTAACAACTATTATCTGCAGAGCTGGTATCGTATGTGAAATGTTACCGTTCAGAACACACTGGGAGTGCCTCTGGCTTCTCTGTTAGACTCTGGATAGATGGCCAGAGATGCCCTCCTTTTAGCTAATCTACGGTAAAGGCTACCCATATTCTAGGTGCTCTCTTTGTGTGTTAAAGACATTTAATTCTCGAAACTCTGTGAAGTGGGTACTATCTTACCCTGTGAAAACCAAAACTTAGAGAAATGAAGACACCACGGGCAGATACCCCACAAGGACAGCTGAGAGCACTTCCAGCTCCAGAGCAGCCCACACATCAAACCACCGCAACCACGGCCTCTGTTGCCCACAGAGAAGACACCCAGCATCTGTTTCATCGAAACTTTCCATCTGTGGTTATTTCCATCGAGACAGAAAGTGTTTTTACACAGAAAGAAATTTCTTTCTCCGAGAATTGTATAAGTCTTCCTGAAATTATTCTTTCCACTTTATTCATCTTATCTTTTCTTTAGAGAGAAAAGATATTTATTGAGTACCATGGATAAAGGAGGAAGGGGAATCCATGGGCCTTCACCCAGCTCTCTCAGTCCTTGCCCCAGGAGAGGACATTCGCATGGTCCAGGTGTTCTCCCAGACACAGGAGTCTAGTAAGGGACAGATGCTGTGCACTCATCAGAGTTCCATCCTCCATAGCATGTTCGGTCCTTCGTGCGTCACAGACTGCTTTCTAGTGTCGTTTTCCTTCTTCCTAATTTACAGCCTTTCTTTAGTAAGGACTATGGGGGTAAGTCTTCTGAATGGTAGCTTATCTGAGCATGTCTTTAATTTTTGCTCTGCTTTGAAATTTAGTTCTGTTCAGCGCACAAGTATAGGATGACACATTTTCTTAGCGATTTGGAAATAGTAATCTGCTGTCTTCTGGTTTCTATTGTTACTGCTGTGGAGAAGTGCTTGGTCAGTCTGAATTTCATCCTTTGTAGCTGGTGCATCTTTTCTCTCTGGCTCTTTTCTTAATGTTGTTGTTGTTGTTGTTGTTGTTGATGATCTGCAGCTTGGTTGCAGTGAGTTGAAGTGTGGATTTCCATCTTCGTTCGTTTGTTTTTAATGCTCGTTGGGATTAGCTGGGCTTCATAAATTGGTGGATTCCATGTTCTTCATCAGTTCTAGACAGCTGCCAGTCACATTTCTTTTGTGTTACATGTCTATTAATTTTCCCTCTAAAGCCTTTGTGGATCTGGTACTCTTCATTTTTTATTTTGCTGAACCTCCCACACAGAGGTTTCTCTCTCTCTCTCTCTCTCTCTCTCTCTCTTTCTCTTTCCCTTTTTCTGTTAATGAGTTTGTATTTGGTGGAAGTCTGCCTGTGAGAATTCTTTGAAGCCTAGGTTGGGGACCTTTCCTCGAGTAAAGATTTGTATTTTCTTCTTCTGGTGCCTAAAATCTTTATTTCTCATATAATAAAAATTTTTGGTGCATTCATTTTTATATTATTTAAAGCATTCTTTGTTTTTATGAATGGTTTTTTGTATGTGAGGGAGAAAGTTAAAGCATTTCCTTTTTGAGGAAGGCATATGTGTTTCATCTGCAGATAAAACATATATTGATTGTGAAGATTCTTTATCTCCCATCTCACTTAGCCTTTTGATGTCACTTTTCAGCTTTTTTAAAAGATTTCATTTATTTACTTTTAGAGAGAGGGGAATAGAAGGAGAAAGAGAGGGAGAGAAACATCAATGTTTGGTTGCCTCTTGCGCACCCCCCTACTGGAGACCTGGCCCACAACCCAGGCATGTGCCCTGACTGAGAATTGACCCAGTGATCTTTTGGTTCACAGTCTGGCACTCAGTCCACTGAGCCACACCAACCAGGGCCTTTTTAGCTTTTTAATTTTTAGCTTTTCAGCAATAACATACATATAGAAAAATGCACATATCCTAAGTGAACAGCTTGTTAACTTTTACAAACAGAACTAGTTTATGGAATAAACACTCATCAATAAACAGAACATCACAAATGCTCAGGTCCCAAAATGCCCTCTTCAACTCATTACCCAGCCCGTCCCTAAGGTAAACGCTACCTGATTACCTGATCTCCCTCTCTCTCCCTCTCTCTCTCTCTCTCTCTCTCTCGTGTTTAATATGACACCTTACATGGTTGTCTGAAATAATGCAGTTCAGCTTTATTGAGAAGGGGGAGAAATGTACAATGGTTCTTCTGGCTTATAATAGATAGATGACTGATTCATAGATCCAGCAATAGAACTTAACATTTTTCTCATCAGCATATTATGAGTAGTGCAAGATAATTTCAACTTTAAAACAATTCACAGAGGATTCCTCAGCTAAACAATAGACTTCAAAATTCAGCCTTATGACTCTGAGAACTGGGAGACGGGTTTTTCTTAGTGTACTAATAGGATATTGGCTAGTATAGGAAAAATAAAAGCCTACCTAAGTAAAATTGTTACATTATCCCTTATAACTTGTTGAGAGCAACACTTTTATTCTTTCAAAGAAAACATGGTGATAAACATATAGAAACATAACAACACATTGTCACCAGATGTGAGGACGTGATACCAGATGGTGATTTTTACAAGTTTATTTGAAGCCCCTGTAGTCATATGGAGAATATAAAAGTGATGTCTTCTAAAAAAAACATGGGATTATTTCATCTGTAATTTGCAGAGATTACTTTTTTTTTTTAGATTTTATTTATTTATCTTTAGATGGGAAGGAGAGAGGGAGAGAAACATCAATGTATGGTTGCTTCTAGTACTTCCCCTGCTGGGAAATAGCCTGCAGGGAACTGGTCTGCAACCCAGGCATGTGCCCTGACTGGGAATCGAACTGCGATCCTTTGGTTCACAGGCCCACGCTCAATCCACTGAGCTACACCAGCCAGGGCCAGAGATTACTATTCATAAGTCATTTTCTTCAACTAGAACTGTTATAGCTAGAGATCTTGTGTTAATCTATTGGTGCTACTATTTAGATATATAATAGAAAATATTCTCTTTCTTCTCAACAAAGCCAGTTTGCATTGCTGCAACAAAAATACCTCAGATGCTAAGGTATTTTTGTACAAAAAGCAAAAGACAAAATATTTAAGAGTTCAGAGACTCTAGCATTTTGATAAAGGATTCTTTCTGAGTTCTACCAATGACATCATTTAACTGCTTCATCTGTGCTTCAGTTCTTTATTTGTAACCCAGGCTTATAGTACATAGCACAGAGTTCTAGGGAACATGAATCCCCAGCACGCATGCCATTTAACACAGTTCCCACAAAGTCTAGCCCTCAGTAGACGCACCACCACACTGACTTCTGCACAAGTTCGCTTATCTGGTGTTTAATCAGACGGTATGTACGCTTTTGTGCCTGCCTTTTTCTGTCACTCTGCTTCTGAACTTCAGCCATGTTAGTTCATGTAGCAATCATTTGCTCGTTTTCACTTACGTATGGATTTTGATTGTGTTGATATACAGCAATGTACTCACCTATTGTACTGCTAAGGAGTACTCCATCTGAGGGATATTACAAAGAGTACGACTGGGAACATCCTAATCTGTCTTTCATTTCATTTCATCTGCTGAGTGTGTAGTTGTAACTCACTGTGGGTTTAGTTTGTATTTCCCCAATGACTCATGAAGACCCAGTATTCATTTACTATTAACCTGAGATTTGAACAGATTTCTAGACTCAAACCCTGTTCTGAAATGAGGACCAGCCAGAGACCACGATTATGCAAGGATTTTTAAAATAAATTATAGCTCATCATACTACCAGAGCTGAGACGGAGAACTAGCAGTCTGCAAATATCTGTGAAGTTTGTCTGCTTGAAGGCAGAGGCTCCTGGACCCCAGCATGTGTGGGATGGCCCTAGGTCACATCCTACCTGCATGGGGCCACTCTCTGTTTCCAGTTCTCCGGCAGCCACAGGCTCTGGTTCCTCCTGGTCCATGTCAGCCCCGCCCCTGGATATCCAGGGCTTCACCGCTCACTTACCTCCCTCATCTCAGCTGCCACTTCCTCTTTCTGTCACAATTTTCTTCCCTCTCTGGAAGGTACACATATTGATTGAAAGGGCTATTTCTCACATTCTATTCCTATTTTTATGTGTGGCAAAACTAGAAGATTTCAGTTCTCCACTTTAAGAGTGACATATTTACAACATGTACTCTGGATATTAGTTACTCTACAACAAGAATCCTTG